TAATCGTTATTAAACAAAGGCTCCCTCCCCTTTTATTAACTACCAAACTAACTAAACTAACCAAAACTACCTTAACACTTGGTTGCACTCACAAAAACACATCTAGACTGACGCTTCGCCATGCTGCCCTCTGTCTCTTCCAAGCCGACTACCGCCCTCTAACTAAACATGCAGAACTACCCCCAAGCGCTACGTGCATATGGTTGCCTATGTTTAACGATTTTTTTGTGATTGAATTTTCTTTCAAATTCAAATTAAAATTATTCAAATGTGATTTCGCGCCACTGTTAATTAAATTCAATGCGAAAATTTGATTTAAATTCGGCCACCACAATATATTTTATTTTAGTAATAAATCTGCATTAAACCCAATTTTTTTCTATCACTTGGAAAATTTTAATATAGAAAAACATATGATTTAAACTGAATCAACTTGATCTTGCGTTGTCAAATAAGCGTATATTTGACAAAGTAAGATTGAGTTGTTTCAGTTTAAACCATAATCACTACTTAACTTGGAAAAAATGTATTGGAGAGGTTTAAATTTCCGGCCTATGTTAAATTTAAATGTAACGCGAAATCGTTGGTTTGCTACGACGTCACGGGGAACCGCCAACTTCGCTTTGTTTCTAGTGTTTACTACTATAGGGATTTCATTTCTTGAGAGTGGTTTTCAGTTTACAGCACAGTATAGCAGACAGTAGCGACAGCTCGTCAAATATTGGAACAATATGTCCTTACCCAACCGTTTTTATTAGGCGGGATTTTTAAAACTAAGTGGAATATTGGTTGCCTAAATTACAAATACAGCTCGTCCGTAAGACAACGTGAAAGGAACTGATATAAACTTCGGATGAATATTAAGAAACTGAAACCAATATTTGAAGTGTGGTATGAAGGTCACGAAGAAAATACCATTTTGAAATATAAAAAAAGAATTGTGCTTATACATATTCATTTTATTTATTAATAAAAGTCTATCACTTTACCAAGTTAATTTCAACCGTGTTTCAACATAAACATAACAACTATTTTGTCAATGCCTTTAATTTTCGCCGAGTGTGAACCGTTTGCTATCTTGCTTATAACTTTGTCGCGGGAAATTTAAATGTCGCAAAAAAGACAAATAGTCTGAAAACAAATAAACTGACAACCATCTCTCTGACAGCTTTTACTTAACGTAACTTAACTTCTTCCACTTCTTCTGTGCTTGGCATACAATCTTATTCACGGCATGATTTACCAAATTTATCATCAGCTGAGATAGGGCTAGACAAATTTACAATTGCTGTAATCACATGCATAATTGCATTAATGTGAAGAATTCAATTTTATCAAACAATATTTTAAAACCTTTCAATCTCTGAATTGTTCTTTCTATATGAACTCTGGCGCTAGCTATATTTGCTATTCCCTCCGCATCTGCTATTGGAAGCTGTTTCGTTTTCGTAAAAATGGGGACCGAACTAAATTGAGAAATAATTCTTCACATTCTCTTGCTATTAAAACACCAAAATTTTCAGCCTTAATAATAGATTTATCAGAAGAACATCCACCATAATCCGTAGCTTACATGAGATATTAATCCTGATGGCGTAACTACTTAAGAGTTTTCTGATAATTTGAATAAGACTTAATTCGACAATTTACACATCACCACTTTTGCAGGGCAATTTCAGTGGAGTCTAATATTATTCTAATAGTTTTGAATTTTTCAAAACACTTGGAAAGATTTACTCTAATTTCTTCTCGTGGTGGCCAATATATCACAGGGTTTATTGCAGTGGTTAGGTACTAATTCGAGAGCGTTCTAAAAAATCCTTGAGCACTTTGATGATGATATACGAAATAAAACTGCTAAACAAACAAAGAAAATATTTAACTTCAATTTTATAAAAACTATAAGCAAATTCATTTGAAAGCATGTGTCCAGAATTTTTTTATTGTAATCAAAAATTCTGTAAAACACCTGATTATCGTTTTTAACAGTCGGCTATTTAGCTTACTATCAGTGTCCAAAACATGTGTTAGCTGAAAATTTTGCCGATCAGTTGGTACACCTTTATCTTCAAATTTTTTTCGCATTTGTTCTATGTTCTCAAACATAGTATTCAGTAAAGGTTCTTTATGAACTCCATATAAAAATGTTCTATTCTTGGGATGAAGTTGTTCATCAAAATCTCCACCGGAATGCTGTTATTCATTTAGCTCATTTGATAAGTGATCTATGTTATCTTCTAGTAATCAAAATCATCAAAACAAAAACAACTTTAAGGAGGTTTATGTTACAGCTTTCTTGTTTGTCTTTTCCTTTTACGCAATGCTTTTGAATGGCTAACAATAGGCATTTTTTGCGATGGAATAGAACCCTTCTTCAGATACTTTTTATTAGAATTTGACGCATCTTGAAAAAGACCAGACCTTATTTTTTTGATACTTTTTTAAATATTTTTATATATACCTATATGTACCTGAAGTAAAATCTTGTGGAAGAAAGTGTTCACTACAAACACATATATGCCGATATCGGTTTTCCAATTTTCTTAGCAATTTGCCTTTTGTCTTTGGGAAAATTGTACATGCTTACTATTAGGGACGTATAATTGTTGTACTAGGGGCACAGAACAATAATGTTTCGATTTGCTCGTCATCTTTAATGTCACACAAAACTTCCTAACATTTATTAAAAGTTTAACTTTATGGAAAAGTCACAATTTTACAACAAACAATAGTACACGACCTTATGTAAATTTTGAAATATTTTCCCTCTTAATCTACTGTGCAAAGTGGCCGCTAGGTGTCAGCCACTCCGCGAATTTCTCCAAATGAATCTCATAAAACCTAGTATCCAGAGACTTAAAAATACTAAATCCATCTAAAATATGTTAAAGTCTTAGATCATATAATAAATAGATACCAATACTCAAACTGAAAGGTGTGACTAGACATGAAGCTATCTGTTGTCGTTTTCTACGTCAAGGGGAGTAGTATAATGCTATCCTTGTGTGATCACCACATCTTCATCTTTGTTATATGCATTTCATCTGTATATGTCTATTTCACTTCCATTCTTGTACCGCACCAGCGCAACAAATCGCTTTTGACAGATGTTTCTTCTAACCTCTCTTTCGAGTTCTTGTACGAGAAACAATTTTAGAATTTAGAACAAAGATGCTATTTTAAGTGATGTAATCATAAAGGATTACAATTGCTGCCCAATAATTTACTATTCCTTTCATTATCTACTGTGAATTATGTATAAAATCAAGCTGTGAACATCTTTCGTACGAAGTTAGTTCAGACATACTTCCTAAAATTTAGGCGCGCAAAATTCAAATAGTGATCAGGCAAGGATAGCTTCATTGTAATCCCTTCATGCACGAGAGAGATGTGTGACAGGAGGATGTCGTCACAGGCTCTGCTAGGGAAAGAACTTGGCATGGTGGTATCTATTTATTATATGATCTAAGGTTAAAGTCCCTGCTAAATTACAAAACTGGAACTAAAAGAGATGTTAGAACAATTTTAAGCCCGAAAAATTTGAAAAAAAATAAATAAAACTATGGTATTCTAAAAGTCCTCCAACTTTATTAATGTTCTGCAAATAAAACTAATTTATTAAATTTTTGTTTTGTCGACACCTCTTTTTTTTGCGTTAACATTTCACATAGATGCTTAGTTCTCAGTCTTAAATAATGTTGCAACACAATTTTTAATAGTGTATTGAAATGTGAATCCTCATACTGCATTTCTAATGTATTTGCACAAAGATGTTCATATTAAAAAAAAACTGTATTCAATATTCTTTATAGTTAAAAAATATACCATATAATTATTTTTCTCATTATTTGTAAAAGACGATAAAGCACGTATAACCCTCTCTGCATGGAAACATAAACCAAAAAGAAATTCGGAAGGTAATGCATTATTTACATTTTTTAAAACTATTATTACCTTTTCGAACTCATTTTTCGAAATAGGTGAAATGCTTAGACAAATATCGCAATCAACTTTCGTTTTTAATTTCCTGCAATGTATTCAATGACATAGGATGAGAAGTCAGACAATTCTTCATGTTGGATATTAGTATCATTAAATATTTGTCACTATTTTGACACACAATTTTTGCAATATCATTATTGTTCTAACACCGTTTTCAAAATAGTCCCATTTAAACTAGAAACATTCATACAGTAATCTGTCATACTAACTTTGACAGTTCCTGTTTTTTCTGGAGCCATTACACCCACTGTAGGTGTTTTTCTCCTCGATGTACCTACGATATATACAAATGTGCCGTCTTTGTCCACAATTTCTAAAAATTTGACGATTGAACTTGCATTTTGGAACTCGGGCAACTTTAATGTGTCTTTTACGAATTCCAATGATTTTGCAACTGATCTGCTCAGTGTGTGGACTGCTAAATTAACCTTCATTTTTTGGTATAACACTATAATGTTTATTCCTCAAACACCGAAACCACACAAAATATTTGACGACGAGTTTCACCAACCACGTTGGCATTAATAGACAAAAACTAAACTAAAGTTTAGTTTTATTAAAGACGACTAAAATTTATGCCAAGTTCGCAATCTGTGCTCTTGTCAGTTTGGACAGGAGTTAAGGCGAGGGATTAAGGCACTCCAGGTACCACTGTAACGAGATATTATCTTGGACCGGAGTTGATGATCACCCTCACAAGTTACCATACTTAACTCTTTATATTGTTCTGCAGGAACTTTATATTCCTGAATTCAATTTGGCGTTAATTTTATGAGACAAACAAACTATGTAATAACAAAATCAAATAAAAAAGTTAAGTAATTGTATGATTTTTATTTTCGTATTTGAATCTACTCTAAGAAAGCATTCTGAAAACTGTTGCATTCCACTATATTTCAGACATTCTTTACATAAGTAGATACATACTAAAAGTTCTGGAAAAAATATTAAAATATTTTTAAACTCAAATAAAAAAGCAATAAATACAGGCTGCTGCATTAAACATACGACGTGTATCTTTTATTAGTCGGACAATATTCAGCGTATTCCTCCCAAGTACAGCCAGATGATTTGCAACATTCTGAAGTTATTGAAGATCCGGCGCGTCGGTTCAGACCGCGCTTAAAACGCAAGAACCTTTTAGCTTTTTTGGGTGCCAGCCAGGGAAAATCTTTAACAGAGGAGTTTTTTCGTGTTGAAAAATAGTTAAACTTACCTTCGTCGTAGTCATTATTTTTAACATAATTGTTGTAACTGTTTTGATCGCTTCTTCGAGTCAAACGGTAGATGTCTTTTTCGCAAGCCCAATACAAATGACGGATTAGAGTTTCCCGGCATCTGGTATATTTTTCTTTATGCCATGCTTCTTCCCAGTCAGATTGAGATCTACAAAATAGATTGATAAATACAACTAGTTTTGTGTAAAATGTTTTCATGTTATTTTTCGAAAAATGTACTTCGTATATTTTTACATACTTAATATGCGGTTCAAAACAAAAATAATATCTTAACGACGGTAAAGACGTAAATCCGAAAATTAGTCTTACTGTTTGTCTCATTGTATTAAAGTTGTAACTGAACAGGTAAGTAAAGACGTATATTTTCTAAAAACAACTTGGAAAATTTTATAAACTAATATAAGTAGTCTCAGTACCCGCATTTCATTTAAATTAACTAATCTCTTAGGATTTGGAAAAAAACACTATTTAAATAGGATAATAATATTCTGAACTCTGATAAAATTAAGAGACTTACTTAAAAGAAAAGTTAAAGTAGAGTCCGCGAAATAGTGAACCTTGACTTTCTATTTCCAAAAGTGTTACGATTATAATGGTGCGTCCATGCACATCTAATTCGTAGAATCTTTGTTCTCTTCAGACAATCAATGGAAGAGAAGGTCAAAGCGGTAAATTATGATCAGTACCATAATCCTAAGCAATTTATTGGTGGCTTGTTCACTATTTGATGGTCTCTAATTTAAAATGCAAACATCGCAATGATTGAAAAAAACTTAGAGTACAGTGATTTTTACTTTAAATTTAATTGAATTATTTAATGAGATAAATCATAATTATATAAATCTAAAAAAAGAATGCAAAGGTTTTCTTGCTTCTTCTGTGAACCCGCCTCTGTTTTTCCGCGAGTAATATTAAAACGTAATGTGATGAATATTGTTATATTTTACATTGCCAGAATTTTAGTGGAGAATTTTAATTAATTATACTTATTTTTAATAAAATTTGCTAACGATACCTTTTCTTTACGATAATTTGAAATGACGTCACCAGTTTTTAGAAGAGATGAATTGACAAATTTGTTCAGCGCAATGATCTTAAAGTACATGTAGAAATTTTATAATGATCAAGTCCATATTTCTAAAGATTGTCTGCGTAAGAAACAGAAACGTCTAAAAGTATTTAAATTAATTAAATATATATATTTGCTGTTTACAAAAAAATTTATGGAAAATTTTATATCCTCTTGAATGAAGTGAATTTTAAATGAGAAAAATAAAGTAGACACGATTTTTCTACCTTATGTACGAGAAGTTTAAAACAAATAAATAAAATTATGTAGGTAAAGTATTCCAAATAAAAATAAAAGTTCTGTCATTGAAATTGAGTGCTTTCACGTTGATTATATACATTATGTAAAATATTAAAACGTACAAAGGCAGAAGATAAACACAAAAAAATGTGCATTTTTACATTTTTATAGTAAAAGAGAAATTTTGTGAAAGGATCATTTGGACTTTTGACAAATACTTTCTTGGCGTTGCACAGCTCATGCAAGAAAATAAATCAAAATGTATTTAGACCATTTTTTTTATTCTTGATACCGAAACATAATTTATCAATCCGCTTTCGTATATTTATCACATTTTTTTTATTTTGCTGTTTGCTTCAAGAAGTACTGTAAAAGAATCTATTTGACGAATTGCTAATTTCATGCTTTTTTTTATTTAATTTTGAAATTATTTGTGAAATTTTGATGAAATCTAACAAATTGGTGTCCTTTTTTTTTGTTAAAAATGTGTACGAAATTTTAAAGGGGGAGGATTGTTCAAAACAAGTGTACTTTGAAGATGCTGACACATGGCTAAGTATAAAATGTATTCTTTCACAGAATTAATTCTACACACACTATTTAAGATTTTTTTTTAAATATCAAACCATTCTTTGGTGTTGGTGCTTTGTCTATTATGTAACAAGGGTTTAATTATGAATAGGTATGTATGTATCTCACTTATAAATTGTTCTTTACAAATTTATTCGGGTGAAGCAATAATTAATAGGAGCAGTTGCTGTTTCAAACAATTGTTTCCCATGAATTTATGTTACTGAAATAATTTTGCCATTTTTATCAGAGTAGCAACAAAAAAATTTTCCAAAATGTTACATGTTTTTTTCGAATGTGTGTTTTGTAAACAGTTTTTCAGACTAAAGTGACATTTTTTCACGTTGTTGATAATATTTAAACCTTTTAAATACCTGCCTAAATTGTTATAATTCTTACAGTGATTTTGCTGTTTGTATGAGAATGGCATACTGAATCCAGTAAGAATGAACCTTTTTTTTTTCATTTTAGATAAATTCTGATAATTTCAACATAATGATAAAAAGGCCTGATTTTAAATCAGCTACTTCTGTTTTTTTTTTAATGTTCTCTAAAATCAGAAAACTACCTTTTCTTCAGCACAAAAGAATATAATTTTCCCCTAACTAAATCTGCCTTGCATGTACATATTATATCTGCTATAAACGTTATACTAAAATTTTCAAATTTAACTTATATTATGTTTAAAAATAAAATAATTGTTAATACCCCATATAATAGTTTGAATTGCTTTATGGATATTTTAATAAAGAATGATTACAAACCAAATTTCTAGACTCTTCATGTTTCTTGATGTGGGAGTCGACTCTAAAAATCTCAAGTTACTTCAGAATTCCGAATGAACTTACAAGCAATTACGTAACAACAAAATTTCTTTTTAATTTGTCGCGGTGTGATGGATATGAAATTACCAAGAATCCTTACCACCAAAGTACAGAATGTCATTGAACTATATTAATTAAGAAACTGCATAGAAGGAAATTAGAAAACCGTTTACTTAGCGTGACCGAAAATTAGGTTTTAAATAAGAGAGAAATGTGTAAAATTAAACGGTTTCTGTTTTTGCCGATTCAAAAATAATCATAATTAAGTTTCATAACTCATTATTAACGAAACTTACAAGTTTAAAATATGACGTTCTTTGAACGAATTAAAGTTATTCTGACTATAAACCCCGCCGAAATAAACAACAAAATTAAGTTCAAAATTAATAAAGTTTTAGTGTTATGCGCGCAATTTTTCTATTTTGATGCACTATTAAATCGTCTTAAATAATGCTCCTAGATTTTATGATCTGTTACACAAAGAGGTGGGCGTCGAGGCGTTCTTAACTCAAATTGCATTTTATTAAAAAATTTAACGCAAGTATCAATACACAAAAATTTAATTATTACAAAAATTACCTATCTCTGAAGACCAGCTCCAAGTCGTTTTCGGGTCGCGTAGTGTCGGAGACATCGAGAAGAACGCAAAGAGCGGCTATTGTTGAAACCGGAAACCACATCTAAGGACATAAAAATTAACAAAGTTCAAAAAGAGCTTATACACTAACCGAAGTTTCTACGACACGGGGACTATGATGAAAAATAAGCCAAATTGATGGACATCGACGGACTGATAAAGAAGTAAAGAACTACCCGGCGCCTCCACCATTTGTATATAGTGAAGAATGCGCAATCGCCAAACTTTAACAAACTCTGTCTTACCAGAATTACTTCTTATAGATTGAATAACAAACAGTGGTTTTCAATTGATGCTATAAATTCTGCGGAGGCTTTTTTACGGCTTCGTCGAATCTCTTACCTGAAAATTCTGCTTGATTGTTGACACTTGTAATCACATATTTATTGCTATTCGGGAAATTTATTGTGTTCCAATTTCAGAACACGGCATGCTTTGTAAGTGGGTTTAGTAGTGTCCTGCTTATCTACAAACGTTAGATTTTTATAGATGTATATTTATTATTTCGTAGATGCATTTACGCGTTTACAGAAATTAAAGATTGGGTCCTCATTTTCGATTGGTAATATTATGTTCGATGATTTTTTTATGGTAATGGGCTTTTTGACCTATGAGATTATTTCGTCACAAGTTTTGTAGGTGTCTGAATTTTATCTGGAACTGGAAGTCCAATTCGATTCATTTATTGCACTGAATTCCAAACAATTGGTCTACCTATAGCTTACCCATTCCTCACGGGACAAATCAGTTACAATGACGACATCGGAAAACAACGGCTCGGAATAATCTGCCCACCAGCAGATAGAATAATAATAAAGGAAGAATACTTGTATTTATTAAACAAAACGGCCACAATATTATTAGCAAATAGAATACACACGTTTTGTATTTTAAGTAGCACCGGCAATTAGTAAATCTGTAATAATACATATTTAAATAGTGTGAATAATAGACATACAATATTTTACTTTTCTATATTATAAAATATTTAATTTAGCACTAAGCTTGTTTTTATTCGTAAGATGATTTTCCTTAAAGTAAAAAATATCTAAGGCTTTGACAGTTAAAAATATGTTAAGTTTTTTTATACAGAAATTGCTTTGATTGCGGAACACAACAAATACCACAATAGGATGTCATCATCTGTTTAATAGGTATAGACATTCATAATTTATTTTGTTAGGTACAGTGTAATCACAACATCACTGTATTATTTGACTTTTAATGAAATTAAGTGGACCACTTGTAATTAAATTGAAGATATAGTGTGACCAAGAATACAGTGGTTTTATAATTTTGACTTTTCCAAGCCCCTAATTTGGGACAAAAATTATCTTAAACCAATACCGCTCAAGGCAAGCAACAAAAAGTGGTATTAAAGTTTGGGATGATGTCATAAATTTGCATCTAATAAGCTGCTTTATCCATTGACAAGAGTAGTGCAGACAATCACTATATTCCCTGGCACACTACACACGCCACTTCACATAACATAGTTAGTTAGAGTAGAGTCCGGGCACATTCATTTGACATGTTAGTAAAACCATGGTGTTCACATTTTTACGACATTGAGATGTGGCCAAACCCAGGTCTGTGTATAGCTTATAATACACGAATCTCCTCTGCAAAGCTTTGTGTACGAATTTACTTTTTTTAAATAAAACACCCGTATATTTTATAGGTTTTTTCGTAGTAACCATAGTTTATTTTCTAAATTTCAGCAAGATCGTTAATAAATAGAAGAAATAGTAGTGGCCCAAGATTTGAGCCCTGGCGGACACCAGATTAACTCTAAATTCACGATTAATTAAGTAGAATTCTAATAACTTCACTAATGGTTCTGAGAAACCAATAAAATGTAAATTGTCTAATAGAATGAAATGGTCGATCTGATCGAAGACCTTATTAAAATACAGTCCACCTGCCCTTTAGAATCAAGCTTTTCCGAAACAAATTGTCGAACGTTTACTCGTAAACCCATGTTGACATAACATGCTTGACTGAATTATAAATATCTTGATATAATATAGACTCAAAAGTTTTGGCAAAATTGCAGAGCAAAGATATAGATCTATAATTCGATACTTTGTAACGATTTTTAAATCTAAGCGCGCTCGGTGAGCAAGGTCGCGGAAGAGTGGGGTCGGTTTTTACGGGCGGCGAGAAAAAGAGGAGGTGAAGAGCGTTTTTTGAGCGAAGTGAATTGCTGTGAAAATCGAGATTTTGGCAAAATAAGGAACCAAGAACAGCTAGGTGAGTCCCTATTTGGCCTAGAATATTTAAATAGAAGGAGGAACTAGGTTCTTTGTACGGGTGCCATCGATTCGTGGTTGGTTGCCGTCTCCGTCGTCACTGTCCCATACCCATCGATTCGTGGTTCGTTGTCGTCTCCGTCGTCACTGTCCCATATTCGTCGATTCGTGGTTCGTTGCCGTCTCCATCGTTGCTGTCCCATACTATGGTAACATCTCCTAGGGGAGCTTTGAACATAAGAAAATCGCTCCGAAGTGCTTCACCAGGAAAGAGCTTACGTAAAGTTGCGGAAAGTACTTAGCATGTAAGATCGTAGAGGTGGTACCATTTCGCGAAGGGCGTTTGTTAATATAAAGTTACTGAAAATTAGTCTGTTGTCCGTTCGTCCCCTTCCTTGTTGGGTTAACTACCCAGCTGGCGCCCAAAGGACCCCCCCAATATAAAAAAAAGCCGGAGAACGTCAAAAATCGCCACAACTTCATTAATTTTACCTTTTTTAAAAATTTGACAGATGATAGCTCTCTTCCAAATATCAGGAAATACTGAATGTTGTAAAATGAAATTGAAAATTATATAAAGAGGATCAGCAAGAACCTGGGCACAGTCCCTACGTATAAAACTGGGAACATCATCAATTCTATTAGTTAATGAATTATTGGAGTTTGGAAGGTGTTTTGTAATGTCAAGTCGAGAAATATGTTTCATGGAAATCATTGTTTCGTAGGTATAGTTTCTAGACATAGTATTATCAATAAGATGCGAAGACTTAATAAAAACATTATAAAATAATCGCCGAAGGCATTGATTGTAGTACTAGGATCAGAGATTTCAGAATGATTGTAACAGACCAATCCTGAAATACGAGTTGATCCTTTCTTACGTACGAAGCCCCAAAATTTTCCAGGGTCAGTTGACAACGACATCTCAATCGAGTTCAAATAAGTTTTGTATGCATCTCTGATAAGCTGTTTGGAATTGACACGGTGGGACTTAAATAAGTTGTAATAGTCCTGACTCCTTGTCTTTTTAAATTGTTTTTAAGCTTATGATTTAAGATGCAAAGTGGTAATTACTTCAGGAGTAAATCAAACCGGGTAATGATGTCGATTATTAGGAGAAAATTTAGGTACGGAAAGATCGACTAAAGCATATAAATTATTGTAGAATTCAGAACAAACCACGTTAACATCGTCTATATTTTTCAAAACCGTCCAATCAGCGTTCAAAAGGAGGTCATAAAGAAGCGAATAATTGGTTATTTATATTGTTTATAAAAACAATTTAAAATATTACAATTTTCAAATATTGATATTTAATTTTTTAATATATTTTATTCCTGCATCTTACTCTGTTTTTCATTCCCTTTCTTTTTTGATGGGTATTTTCTATATCTAAAGTGGACAGTCGCTGCAATTTTGTATTTTTTTTTAAAGACACACAAAAGAAGGAGAACAAAAAATTGGTCGAAAGTAATTTAGACAGAACTTCCCCTGTCCCATAAATACAACCAAATCCAATTTTTTCGAAAAATTATAAAATTTTATTTATTTTATGGTAATCCATATAAATAAAAGATATAAATATCAATCACAGTAAAAAAAAAAACTCGACAAAGATGAGATTCGAACCATCACGGGGACAGCGCAAGTCCGATAATCTGCCACTTAACCAACTAGGCCATAAGGTATGATTTGGTACGTCAGGTGAAAGATGATGTTAAGAACACGGGTGGACTTCTCGCGTTAACTGCAACCGGTTCGTTGTTATCTTGATTTGGTTCAACATTTTCTGCATTTACTATACCAGATTCGTCGATGTTTTGGTTTAATTCCAAATTTTCTCAAGGACGAAATATTTTATACTTAAATATTATGGTATATTATTATTATTATTAATGTAAATTGAACCTACATCTATATAAACTTTTCACCACTCACGGATACGGAGTCAAGTAAGAACAGAATTAAAATCTCTTAACCCATCTTCTTTTAAATTCCAAAAGAGATAATTATTATCATAATTACCTCTAATAAATAAGTTTTACTAGGACACCGTAATGTCGTAATTAGTAATGATTTTATTTAAAAGGGGAATATTTTGAATAATTGAATATTTTAGTTCACCTAATCTTATCTTAACCAGTAAATACCGTCCTGTATGATGGAACAGTCATAAATAAGGAATTAACCATGCCGTTATAGCTGCTTTCAAAATAAGAGAGCATAGTACTGGAAACTGTAGTCGGCAGACCTAACTTTTAAAGCCGCCCATAGGATTACTATAAAAGTATGGACTTCTGTCAAATATTGTTTATTACCCTTCTATTTATGGATTACCCTAAAAGTCAAGTCAGTTTTCCAGGTAGTTTTACTTTCTTATTTTGAAAGCAGCTATAACGGCATGGTTAAATCCTTATTTATGACTGTCCCATCACAGGAAGTAGTAATTTATTGTTAAGAAAGTTAACTTTAACAAAATGGGGTACCATCATAAAAGCGAATTAGAACTAGGGAAACATACCACTTACACGATATTCTCAAAATACATTACAATTTCACAAAAATCAGTCATCTTAAATCTTATCTAATAAAATTTGACACAGACAGACGAGACAAACAGGCAGTTTCGTACTCTAGGGTATAGTATGTTTTAGATTTTTTTATAAACACCCTGTATAATAAAATTTAATTTAATTTAACCACAACATAGAGTAACACAGATTATAAAAGTAATCCTACTGTGATTTTTGTGTAAGGTACCCTTCCATTGCTAAGTATATTCGAGAAAAAGGAAATAACGTGGCAACGCTACAATTCCAAAAATAAACCTGGTTATAAAGCCTACTACGAGATCAGAGTGTGTAAAAATATATAGGGTGTTTCATTAAGGAAAAAACTACACTATACAACCTTGGTCTTCTATTTTTTTTTATCTCTAATATAATTAATGAGATTTCGAGCACCGCGCGCTCCATGACTCACTGTGTATATTTTTACTTACTATTTGATTGTTCATTAAAGACTTTTCACAACGAAAGTTCACTTGGAATTGATTCGTTTTAAGAGGTATATTTGGGGAAATTTAAAGTGACAGATCTAGCTTTTAGAGTCTCTATAGGACTACCATAAAAGTTTTAATTTCCGTCAAAATTTTCGCAGTGCCACTTCGCTTGACTCGTCTTCATCGCGCTCTAGTCCAGATATTTATCCCTAAACAGACGAGTAGGTAATAAACATTATTTGACAAAAGTTAATGCTTTAATGATAATCCTACGTGGCTTTTTAAAAGTTAGTCCGTAATTTTAAATTTCGTTACTCGATATTTAGAGTTTCCTATAAAGCTCTTTTCATAAACTCATTAGCTATTGTTATTATAACGGTTAAAGACGTCTGGTTCACAAAACCCTTGATCCTTTTGAACAGGCAACCCTAAAGCATGTAAGCGTTGTAAATCGCTATTATAATCCTGGGCAGTTTATTGAGGGCTTCAATAAACATTTGTGGAAACAGCTATTCAGTATTCACTATTTCCCGGATTCCACTCTAATAAACCTTGATATAATAATTTTTTAAGATACCGTCTTCAGATTTTTGGAAGGAATGAATAAGCAAAATGTACGTGATGATCTGTATCTACTAATTAAACGTTAATTAGTGTCTTAACAAGACCATTTCTGATTAAACTAAAGATACAACTCGGTTCATTCACATTTTAAAATTTGTTTCTTCAAACCCTTCAAACACTAGATCTCAAAGCATGTTATTTTACTAGACATATTTGTCTAATAATAATTTGCTGAGATTACATCATCACCTTTCTGGAGGGGATGATTAAATAAATCTTAATATTTTCTGTTATCATTAATCAGCGTTGGTATTTTGAAATTTCAAAAGGAAGTTAAGGTAAATGTTTTTTTTAACGATAACATGTATGCTTGAAGTTAAAAGTGTGGGCACGTTTAAAACCACATATAAAAGAACAGATCACGCCGTAAATATCGAGGAAGCTTTACGAAATAAAATTTTGATGTGACTTAAAACCGTTGAGTGCTGGAACTTCCCCCTAAACGACAAAGGAAAGGACCCCATTTCATTTTCAGATATCCTAATAAATGATGAGTTAAGAAAAAATGTACATTTTAAAATTCTCTATAATATTCATTCTGATAAGCTGTGTTACGAAGAAAGGGAAAAAAAGCTGAGTTTGGTACATGTGTTTGTATATGTAATACTTACAATCCCCCCTATATTTATAAAGAACTATGGTAAAATGTAAAAAGCATCATTTGGTTTGAACATTACGATCTTTCAAAACAAATCGCAGGTTGCACATAGCAAGAAGTTCTTGATTGTCCTTCTAATAACAGTTTAAGTACAACCCACATAAAGTTCTACACCAATTTCTGTTCATTTAACTAGATCCGTCTGTTGTCGTCAATTCAGTATAATGAGACGAAGACGAAGTGGCTTTAATTTGAAAAAAAATGTCGTATTGTGCAACACAGAATTTCCTTTAACAATATCTTTGCAGATAAATCATCCTATAACACTTTAATTGTCTAAAGACCATACGTTTTCTTAAAAAGCATTATAAATGTCTCCATAAATGATTCTGATGTCAAGGGTGACTCTGGTATTTTACATTTATTTACATTTTTATGGGGCTTAAATTTGTTTTGAAACTGTAAGAACGAATTTACCTAATTAATTTAAATCTGCTAATAAATTTTAGTTGTGTCATTAATAACAATACGAAATAAAAACTGAAAATATTAGAAATTCACGTTTTTTTTTTAATACCCTGTATACTTTTTCCTAAAACTTTGTTATCTGTAGAGTTCGGTAATTTTATTTGTGTACTCAAATCTATTTATCTTCTGTTGATATTGTAATAATTAATGTTAATGTTGTCTGACAGTACCAGTAATTGCCCCAATTTGAACAATAATAATTCATGATACGTTTAATTTTAAAGTAACTCAAAAAGTAAAAATAGTTATATTAAAAATAAATACGCTTTAATACTTTCCAATAAATTTCTTTTTTGGCACCAAACTTTGTTATTTCTCGGTGAATATTTTAAGAACTATTGATACATGAAAAATATTTTAAAAACACCTCTGCGCTTACGTACAGTGGGCAAAGCACTAAAAGTGAAATCTCGTTGACAACAGTTTCTTTCATCTAATGAGTATGTACAGCTGAACTTATGACAGCCAATGTTATAATTTTTCTAGATCGATTTTTTTTGGCAAAAATGCCATAAGATGTGACTAAAAACAAACAAGTGCCATCCTTGAGCCAGAAATTTTTTTGTGCTGGCTTATGAACAAGTTTACGTTTTATAAATATTTCGTCATTGTAAAACAAAATTTTCCATAACAATTGCATCGGTTTTCTTGTCCCTGACGTTTGCAAAAGTAGGAATCACGTAAATTTATAGTTTTATCTTTTCTCTTATCATGTAAAATAAGATAAACAATTTAATTTAATACAAAAATTAATACTCCTATAAAAGAAATCGTGTAAATAAGAAAACTGTTAAAACTATAAACTATAAGTAGATCAGGCTTTTAGTCCATTTTTTTAAACGTAAAAATTCAATACAAAACAACAAAGTTGCTTTCCTATTTGTCTAGAAGTTTATCCTGCTATAAATATACACAATTACAACTTTGTTACACAGCTTTCCTGTGTATATTTCGCGAATCAGTGCACTGCTGGTTGATGTTTAATAAAAGAGAAACAGAATTTGTAAATATTTATTAAGGATATAAGCTGCCGTATTGCACTGAAATTTCAAATGAAATATTTATGAATACCGTTCCATTATGAATGAAATAAAACAGTAAGTACAGCGAAAATTGAAATATATACTGTATACTACTTAACCAGTACATGATTAAAGCGCCTATGTTTCGTCCTCACATGTGTCTGTGGTTGTAACATAGGAGATTTTTTAATATATGAACAGAATTTCTCTTTTAACAAACACATATATTTAACACATCATGTTGACAATTTTTAGAATGGTTTATACTTGTTGATGTTATTCATTATATTAAGGCCTTTAACGAACGCCCTGTAATCAACTTCATCCCTCATTCCCCTCTCGTAACTGAAACATTTGCAAACTGCATCGAATTCTTCTCTTGAAATAATGCTCAAGAGTCCTCTAAGCGACAAAGCCCTTTCGAAATGTTCAGCAGAAACCGTTCCACAGTTCGTCTTGTCATAATCCTAAAAAAAAAAACTCTATTAAAACAGCACCTATATTGAAACAATTAAAGTTTTATAGCATCGATGAAAAAGATATTTTATGGATGATCCGTAAGATAATGAGACTTGTCCAGGTTCGTTGTTTCGGGTTTATTTTGTTTACGCTTAGGTCGTAACTTTTAATAAGGCATAGATTCGAAGAAGCATCATTATCTTAGGCGATGTTTACACCTACGGCTACACGAAGCGGAAACTTCGGACAAAGGCAGCCATTTTAAAATTTGCAACTAAAATAAAAAGTACAAATTTAAAATAAACCTGGAATATCGACATCAGGTTTAGTTCCATCTCGGGTTTCTTTGACAATTTTCTCATGGCACAAGAAAGAGTTCTCCTCTCGTCGAAGTTGAGGAAGTTTCTTTCGCCGTCTTTGATGGGTAGATGCTGGAGTGGCACGATCAGAGGTGCTCTTTCTAGACTTAACTGGGTGAAGGCTTCTTCTACTACGTCCGAGAATCGTCTGTAGTCGACGCATTCTCGTCTAAGTGGTGACGCGAATCTATGGATTCAGATACTTTTTACTAATTTAATGTTGCTGCAGAATACGTGTTCTTACACTTCCATCAAAGTTTTCATCTCGTTTTCTGTAAGATCAAATCTACAAACCGACAATCCTCTTGCGAAGTCTTCACGAGATATTACTTGTTGGTTGCATTTGTCGAAATCTCTCAAGAACTCCATCACTCGGATTCTTTCTTTTACCACTTTACCCTTTATTTTTGCCAGAATTCTAACAATATCTTGTTCAGCTCTCGGAATTGGTTTCTTTATATATTCTTTACCACACACTTCATGGTGAATGGCACCAGGACACTAATAAAAATCGCAGTACAAAACTGAAGATAAACAACTACAAAATTTACCCTCTGCTCACAACTACTAGGTTCTACTTCTTTCAAGAACCAGAAATAGTTGAATCCAACTTCGTTGTTAAATCTTTCTTCCAAAGCATAAAGTTCTTCATCTGACAACAAAATTCCGTTTGATAATAAAGACTGACGCATTTGAGCTCTTGACACGTATCCATTATTATGCCTAAAAAGAAACAATGTGTCCAGAAAAATCGGTAAAATTTGTATACTTGTCGTAATCTCTAAATGAAGGTTTTAACACGATGCGTCTATTCGTAACTCTTTTCTTCACTTTATCAACAGCTTCTTCACACAGCTCTCTCTGAACTGTATTAACTTTTTGCCAGTCTTTACCACCCATTCGTGGCAATTCAATAACATCTAAAGGAGGAACATCCAATTCCAAGCAAGGATATTTTTCTAGCTCCTTTGTGGTGAATACTTGATTAATGTCATCCTCAAAAGTCTTCCAACAAACTCTAGTAGGATCGCATGGATCTTGATATTGAATCATAATAGCTTCTATTTCTGGTAATGAAAGATACAATCTTTGGATACCACTGATACCAAGAATATCGAGCCCACGGTGAAACTGAGACACTGTTAAACGTCCGCTGTTTAGCGCATCAAAATCCTTCGAAAAAATATTATTTTTGCAAATTTTCATCACATAACAATACCTTAAAAAATTCTTCAACTCGTAATCTGTTTTCTAAAACGTGTCGCTGAATACGTTTAATAGTGGTTAGAAGGTCTTGAGTTTGTTTCGGTTCGGTCAAAGAAGAATGAAATATGCTTTGTTTGCCGAAGATACTAGAAGCCAAAAGTTTGCCCATTTCGGGCCTTGGCAGTTTCGGTAGTTCAGCGTTAATTATCCGTCCAGGAAAGAGGCTTAGGACGTCCTAAATTAATTAAATATTTTAAAATAAATTTTAATGTTTTCGGGTATCTATCAAAACGTCTTACGCCGCTTAAATCCATGACTCCATGCTTATCGAGATACTTAACTATCTCGTCTATAGCTGCAATAAATGCGATGTAGTTAACAGTATAACTGTCCTTCAAATACTTCTTCAACAACAAGTTAAAATCATCAGGAGAAACTAAAATTTTTAAATAATTTAAAACTCTGGCAAAATGCCCTATTGTCACAGTTCCATTATTTTTTGAAATCTAGAAAAAAGTGTTATTGTTGAAACAAAGTATCTAAGTATTGTTACGAGTTCATAATCTTGGAAATACGGCATCAACAACAAATTTCTCATATTCACGACACACGCAATCTTAGTTAACAAAAGATTCAGCCTCCGTTCTTCGCTCAAACTTAATCTGTTGACGTGCATAGGATCAGCCCATTCAAGACCACTTATCAAGGGGGCATTTTGCGAAAAATCCGGAACTGCAAAACAGGTGTTTACATTTTTAAAAACAATAGAGTCTAAATACCGCTGTCGTAAATAACTTCACACAGTTGAGTATAAAAAATTCGGCCATCTTGTATCCGGAAGTAGTCAGCTAATTCTGAAATTTCTTGATCCGATAAACCAATGATTGCTTGCAAGTGTCCAGAAAATACGGAAATAAATTGGGATTCTGGAAGCAGTATTTTACTGTGTGCACACTTAAATATTTGTCACCGTAATACCCGAAATGATGGAATTTTTATTGGGGTCAAGTGGGCAGAAATATTCCCAAAGGTTTAAATTTGTACGAAAGACGGCAGCCCTTATTTTGTTGCAGGTGCGCCATATGTCGGTTAATTTTATTTCCTGAAAAGATTAGAACAAAATTAGTGTTTTTCATCAATGGAAAATCTACTAGAAAGTACCTTGCAATGCATTTTTAACAATTATATCGAATGATAATCTACAGATAATTTCATTCAAACCAATTGCAGTTTGTCAAAACTGTCTTAATTTTTACGTTGCTTCACAACGGATTTATAAAACGACGGTAAAACTATTTCAAAACGCTGAATGACCGCTGCTTCAAAAGTAAAAAATTATGAAATACCTACACTTTTATTTAAAACAAAAACCACCCGAAGGGTTTTGTCTAATCATCCCCACGATTAATATGATGACGTCACCTCAAAATTGTACATAGTAAATGGGTTTTAAATTGTGTAAAATATTATAGTCTTTCACGTGTAGTTTATGAATCCGTGTGGAGTTGTTACCCGAAATGTCTAGATTTTTGGAAAAAAAAAATATATAACAACAATTTGCAATTTAATTTTGAATGTGCAAAACCGATTGCTTTGAAATTTTGCAGATGTTTAAAGTTATCATAATCATGACGCTTTTTAGATTTAGTATTCAGATAAAATCTGGAAGGACTTATTTGCTTAAAGGATAAAAAGGTTTTTTTTGAAAATGTGATTTACATGTTCCATAAACATCTGTTGGCTATCATTCACAACTCCCAGACTCTTAACCACAGAGGAACTTTACAAGACTTGATTATTATCTAGTTTTAATTGAATACGATTTCTACACTGAAGATGCTTTGTAGGTATACCAAACAGAATCGTTTCACATTTACTGTGATTGAGTCGCATGCAATTGTTTACACACTATTGCTGTACAAGTTCTAGATCTCTATAAAGTCAACACAAGTTTCAGTTTTCTGGATTAAAAGTAAGATAAGGTTGTACATCATCTACATACATGTGTACACAATGTTTAATAACTTTCATTAAGTCAGCAGTATACAAAGAGAAGAGAAAAGTTTCAAGTACCGATCCCTGGAAAACCCAGAAATTCAAGGCAATCGTTTTTGATTTATGACCATTTCAGTCGACTAATTGAGCTCGGTTAAATAAGTTATTCTGGAACCAGCCAAGGTAGCCCCATACACACCATAATACATAAGTTTGGCAACAAACAGAGATATATTGAGTCTATCAAATGCCTTAGATATGTTAAGCAGAGTTAGCGAAGTGACTTTGCCATTGGAGAAGCCATTAAAAATATTATCAACCAAGGAAATGAGAAGTGTAGATGTACCGAAATTTTTTCGAAATCTGGATTGTTCCCGGCGGAAAAATATTTTCTTCATCAGCCACTTTTAGCGTATTACAAATTAGACTCATTGGCCTAAAATCATCTAAAGATACAGAGGTTTTTTTAGGGATCGGTTTTACCAAAGAGAAGTTCCAGAATTTAGGGACTCGTTCCTGTTCGAAAGCGAGGTTGATAATAAGAATAAGTGGTTCCCTAAACCAAATAGAAGCTGCCATCTGCACGTGCACAGTTACGTTTCAAGTTTAAGACAAAGGTCTCAATAACTGTTGCAATGCCTACCGGTTTGAATAAAAATTGATCGGATGAAAACGGCTGATTGGTTTAAAGTTTATTATAAAGATGTAAATTTATTGGTAATCAAAATATTTCTGTTTATTACACCCAAAAAATTGATGACGTCATCACAAAATTTTGTAAAGTAAAAACTAAGAGCAGGCCTACCGGACCCGGGTTGCTCAGGTACACAGATAAAATGCATTATCCCGACAAGCGTAAAACGCAATGAATAGTGAATTGTGGTTTATGGTTTTTAAAATACCATCTTTCCATGGCTTAGATTTATTACCCCTCAGGATTATATTTAAAGATGGTATTTAAAACATGAAATTTTCCGCGACAGAACACTGTTAGTGGACCTCTTACCTTTATTTTTGTTTATGTGACCAAAATCACCAACATAAAGCATCAAACATTACTACTAGTATCTATAACTCAAGTACTGAAAAAAAGCGAAATAAAAAATGTATCTGTATCTGCGTTATTAATTTGTATCTAGATACAGATATTTCGTGCTTAAATTCGATTGTATCTAGATACAGATACTAGATACCCAAAAATGTATCTAGATACTTTATTTAGATACAAGTATCTAGATACTGCCCAACACTGCCAACAACAATGCTAACCTTTACATAAAAAAGTAAGCGTACATGTTTAACTTGTATTTAAAGTAATAGTAAAAATCAAAACTTTAACCTTTAAGTATGTATTTAAACATCTTTTATAAAATGGCTGCACAAGGCTATGGTAAAAAAAAATGCTTGCTTCCTTTTATACCCTGGCAAATGAATTATTTTTTAGTGACAATAAATTTTATACATTTATTTTTTATTTGTTAGAATAATTAAACATTTAATGGTCTTTTGATGATTTTTTTATCAAAGTTACACTGAAGTAATAAAAATATATGAGAGAATTTAAAAAAAAACCCAAATTAAACACAGAAAACGTATATGAATATTTGTCCCTTTTGAAATTCAAATAAACTGTACAGTATGTACCAGTGATAAACCTATTTAGTCTCTGTTTCTAAAATTTTAAATACAGCATAATTTTGAAGGAAGTAAGTGAATCTAAAAAACCAAAGCAAAATTATGAAAAAATTGCACACATAATTTAGTTTGACATTTGGAACAATTTTACAAAACAATGGGTCTTCCTTTTCCGTCTGCCTGCCCGTCTGTCTATCTGTCTGTCCGTCCGACTGTCTGTCTGTCTATCTGTCTGTCTACCGCCTCCCACCCACCGTTTGTCGTCTGTGTTGATGTTTATTAAGATTTTCATGCCGGTCCCCTTTCAAAAAATGATGACATCATCTTATTCTTGAAAAATTCCAAAAATAGTTTTTATGGTTTCTATTTAATTTATTGAAAGGTGTAATTGATTCGCCACATCTTTTAAGAAAAATATTTTTTAGTTCCTAGAATAAATGCACGATTCTCTTTAACCTTTTATGTGTCGACTAGCAGAACAAATGTATTTATTTAAAGCCCCTATCCAAAACATGTGTAATAAATTTAATTTTCCGACGATCGTTAATTAATGTGAAAATTACGAACAAATTTGGTGTTCAAAATTGATCAATAATGAGTCTTAATATTCAACGATTAAACTAAAGTCGACAGAAATGTCAATGTATTGTTGGTTGCATACCAATTTAATAAAATGTCAAAGCAAACTTAGACATTTCAAGTATATTTAGTTGTTTAATGTTATTACCCAACTAGTTGATTAACTATTAATTTCTAGAAAATGTGACATTAATGTTGATTCATTCCAAATAATTTGCAAATGTTTAATATATAGATGTTGTAGTAATTTAGTAAGAATAACTCTATCCTGGGTTTTTTTCATTTTTTTTTGTTTTCTTCTTTTTTTTTCTCCATTTCGGTAAAGGGCCAGAATTTATTATATTTGTTTTATTTTTGCTTATTTTGACTTCTGAATTTACATAATTGTCACTATTGAAGTACGTTTCTTTTATTAATTTTTTATTGGTATTTGTAATACTTCCTGTAATTGAGCATACGCCTGTCGGAAATAAAGATGTTATTATTATTATTATAATTGTGCTGAATAAATTTTCTTTAAATTTATGAGTGTCTTTGGAAAAATATTCATGACGTCATCAGAAAATTTTGTTAAAGAAAAACTCATTTGAAACATACGAGCAGCACGCTTCTTTACATTTAGTTTAACATTACATAAAAAAATAAAATAAAATTCGCATAACCAAATTTTATAATTATTCGAAAAAGCTGTATTTGTTTTATTGTACTTCGGGGCGAGGGAAGTTCTGCCAAAATAATCTTTGACCATTTTTTTATTTTTATTTTTTAGTATATACTTAACAAAAAACAATATGTTTGCATAAAAATATTGGCGATTAAGTACGTTTCTTTGAGCTTACTAAACATTACATAAATTAATTTCTTTAAGCGTTCCCCTCAGGTCAAAAATTGTTAAATACATTTTTATTTAAACCAAAAAGTGCCCAAAGAGGGTATGGAACAATAAATGGTTATGTTTGTGATTTCCCGATATGAATATTTTTATAATGCGGTTTAACGGTACGAAAAACATTTTTTTTTTATTGCGAATGCAGTGCAAAAGTCCGTGTTTTATTTCTATTTAAGAGTTGCTGGTTCCTAAGTGGTGTTCCATCCGACACGGTTCTTCTGAAAAAATATTTTATTAAGTACTTCTTTCTTATCTCTATTTAGTCCAACGTTTCCAACTATCCAGTTCGTAATACAGGTAACCAGGAAACTTACGTTGATCTTAGTCCTCATCATCCTCATTCTGAGCTAATGCAAAAATAAAAAAATCACCTTTAAGTATTTAAACATCTTTTATGAGATGGCTGAAGGAGACTGTGGCCAAAAAAACTACTTGCTTCCTTTTATACCAAACAAAATTAATTCTTTTCTAATGACAACAAATTTTATATATTTATTTTTTGTTTATCAGAAAAATTAAACATTTAATGGTCTTTTGATATTTTTTTATCGAGGTTAGTCTAAAATAATAAAAATATATGCAAAATACCTGCGAAAATGCAAAAAACAATTTAATTACAGAAAATGTATATAAATATTTGTCCGTTTTGAAATTCAAATAAATTGTACAAAGTTTTTTTATCGACAAACCTATTCAGTTTAATAATTTTTCGTATTATTTAAATAGGGACTACAAGTTATTTTTTTTAATTTTAAAGTTTCAACATAATTTTGAAGAAAATAAGTAAATCTAAAAAACAAAAACAAAATTTTGAAAAAATAAATAATGTAAATTGATATTTTAAACAATTTTATTGCTGTCAATGTCAGTTGTTAGTTTAGTTTTGAAAATTATCGTGTGAGAAATCGGTTTCCATTTTCAAGCTATAAAATCATTAATATTTTTAAATGATGCACATACTTAAATAAGACTATCACTTAAAAGTTATAAGCACGCTACGTTACAACTTTTTCTGAAATTTTAATTCTACTGTTTGTTTCTTCGTATACATATAATCCACACATTTCATAATATATTGAAATTGCGTCCAAATATTTGTTACTTCCGGAGCGTAAGCTAAGGAAGCATTGTAATGGGGTCCAGCCGACGACTGGCTAGCTTCATGTTTTATATGTAATGACCCCCATGATACAAAACAATAGGTTTCCCTTTTCCGTCTGTCTATCTGTCGATTTTTATTAGATAGATTATTTTGATGTAAAATTTTCTTAGTATGTTAGGAATATCATGTAGATGGTAAAACGCTAACTAAAATGTGGCTGATTATCCCCGACAATGTTTACAATTTACAATTTAACTTTGAAACTACAGAACCGAATGCTCTGAAATATTGTAAACGGTTATCAAAAGCATGGTAAATCGTTAGTCAAAATTTGTCCATTCATGTCGGCCTCCCACCCAAAAATGCAGTTGTTTGGAAAAAATAAACTGTGCTTAATTAATTAGTCCTCTTCTCTAAGTTGATTAAACAAAATCAATCAAATTTCATTTTCATTTAACACAAACACATACATTGATCAACCGCTGTTGATAGTGGCTATGAACATGCTAATAGTCGAATAATCTACTTTAAATAAATTTCATATTGTCCGCACTTGTGCCGACCGGGCCCCCTTAGAATTTGCGCTCCCGAGACTCGGCGTAGAGGCTGCAGGAGTGTTATTTAAGTATTATGCCAGTGATTTTTTTCTTTATAGATGTTATCACAAAAACAAAAATCGCAAAATAAATTTTTATAATTTCTCAAAGAAGAGGGATTTGTGGTACTGTACTTCGGAGACGAGGGAAGTTGTGTCGACATAACCTTCGACCAATTTTAGTGACGATGAAAGCTGAGTTATCTTTAAAAAATACATCACATCAGAATTTTTAAACTATAATCCGAAAATATTATAATTTATTTCTAAAAAATTGGTTTAATGTTATTTCGACAGCACTTCTCCCGCCCCTGAAGTACAGGCGAAGAAATACACTTTCTACGAAAACTTATAAAATTAATGAATGTTGTGAATTTTATTTTTTATTCTATTTTTGAATCATAATCTTGTTTAAAGAGGTAAAGAAGCATGCTATGCGTATGTTTTAAATATAAAATTTACATTTTTATACGATATAGGTATAAATTATTGTTTGTGATTTCTCGATATGAATATTTTAATGATGAGGTTTAGGGGTACGAAAAGCTACTACATTTCTTAACATTTTTATTGCAAGTACAGTGCAAAAGTCACTGTTTTATCATTTTTATCTAATAGTTGCTGGTTCCTAAGTGCTGAGTGGTTGTCCATGCGGCACGGTCCCTCTGAAAAAATATTTTCTTATCTCTGTCTATTCCAACATTTCCAACCATCCAGTTCGCAATACAGGTAAGAAACTTACATTTATCTTCTTCGTCATAACCATCGTCGCCAGCTGCTGAACCCATGATGAGACTGATAACCAAAAACTCCCAAAGGGCAAAAAAACTGCCAACCTTTACATAAAAAAGTAAACATAATAATATTATTTGTATATAAAAATAATAATAAATCACCTTTAAATAACTAAACATTTTATATAAAATGGGATAAGAAGACTATGCTAAAGAAAACTGCTTGCTTCTTTTTATATCTTGCAAGTTGTATAATTTTACTATTAATATCGACAACAGGCTTTTATTTGTTTAGTTTGCTTTATCACAAAAATTAAAAAATTAATGATTTTTTTATCAAGGTAAAGTTGAAATAATAAAAATAGTACAAAATACCTGCAAAAATATAACATAAAAACTAAAGACGGAACATTTTGATGAATATTTGTACGGATTGAAATGCAAATAAATTGTAAACTATTTTTAAACGTTAACGTTAATTGTCAAAAACCAAAACAAAATCATGAAAAAAAAATGCCCACACAATTGGGGTTGATATTTAACACAATTTTATTGCTTTTAATACCAGCTGATTTTTTGAGTGTTTTGAATGTGTTTGTAGTGGTAAAAATGGTTATGCACACCGTTCATGTTACAACATTAACAATATTACTATAAAAATTCTACAAAGTACGTAATTCATACGATGTATTAGAACATTTTGCTGAAATTTTGGTTCTACTGTGTTTATACTTCACTCACATATTTTATATTATTTCGAAAATATCTGACAACCTTTATTTTTTATCGTTGTTTTAATTGGGGCGAAAACAGGTTGTCTTTAGAAATATATCATCTAGAATTTGATCATATTCAGCAAATATTCGAATTTGTTTCTAAGAGGTGAAAGTGTTCATATTTTTAATAATCAAAATTTTGAACGTTTTGATTATTAAATTGGGAATTTTATAACGCAAAAAGAATTTAAAGAAAAATAAGTCACAAAAGTATAATTAATTTTCGATTTTTGAGTCAGTCCTACTCATACCATTATTAGTTCCCAAACATGTGTAAAAATTGAAAAGTACCTATAATAAATAAGTTGAAAGCTTTAAAATAGTTGAAAACAGTAATAAAACATAGACAAGGAATATAATTTACGTGCAAATATATAGCGGTTATAACACAAAAATAAACTGTGTATCCGCGATTATCTAGTACTATTTTAAGAAAAAAAAAATCATATATCTGAACTATTTGTGTATTTACCGTTTGCTATATGCACTTTTAGAATATTTTAGTAAATTATTTACTTATAATGCAGCCAGGAATATATTATTATATTATGATTCTGGCTTTTCCAAGTCCCTCGTTTGCGAACAAAGAGAATCTTAAACTAATGCCGGCGAACAGATAAACAGATCCTGGGTCAAACACAGAGATTTCTTAATAACCTTTTAGGATATATTTGACTTTCGGCTCCCCTTTGTTTTTATATTATTATTTATTTTTATATTACATATTATTTGTAACCAATAGATGTGTTCACGATCTTTGTATACTGTGTTGATTTTTTTATTATATTTAGTACAAACTAGAAGTTTCATAAATATTTACTGTTGAAAAGTTATATAGAATTATGAGATGGTTCTTTGCATACGACACACAACTCTAGCCCATTGTCAAAAAAGCGATAAGACTCAAAGTAGTCAAAGTTATAAAAGAATTTGACTTGTACGACACATTGTACACGAAATAAGACCCGACTTGCATATCATGCTGTACAAGGAGATGGAAAGAAAAACTCATGATGCACATGTTGCTCGCAGTCGTATGTTGTTTTTGCATACAGTCTCTGATGATGCATCTAATAGTCTGCATTATTCGTTGACACAGACAGTGGACGAGTCAAACTCGTAAAACCACCATAGGATTTGGTACACTTATCTCTACTTCAATTTGCCTACTGTTAGCTAGCTTTCTAATAACAGGTAGGGAGATATAAATAGGTAATTCTTAGTAGAAGGGTCGTTTTAAACGTTTACCTGGACTTGTGGAGGGATTACAGCTTGGGATAATAATAGCGGGAAAAGCGGTCTTGCCCCTAGGTCCCCGCATTTATCTACCTGTTTTTACCTGGTGGTAATACCAGCACAAGAAAACTTGTTATATATCATTCCAAAGAACAGGGGGTTCCACATAAAGAAATTATTATTTGAAAACCAATAAACTGTACCTACAGACTTATACACGTGTTTGAAACAATTTTCATAAACTTTTTTTTTGCAATGATGTCAAAATATATGTAAAAAAAATATTCATACGTCAGTTTTATCTGAGATTTGAAAATTTTAACTTACTCAAAAATGCTTTCAAACTGACCACGAGGTTACAAGGTTTCCATTTTCTAGACAGCACGTGTTCTCTACCTACACAAATGAGGCATACGTTTAAAGACTGGCTTTTACTAATGTGTATTTTATTACTATTTCCAACTTTGCTGTTATACTTAAACGAATTTTTAAGCATACTGTAATTTTAAATCCACCACATTATACCCACACATTCAAAAACTAATATCATGAGTCATGATCAATACAAAAATCACGAAATCAAGAAAATTAAAGTCCGGTATACCTAATTCAGGACTTAATTCATTAAATTTTAAGATAGTATATTTTTTATAGCAGGCTATAATCTTATCATATTTGTGACTTTCTTTACAAAAATAAGATGTACCCAAGTACTTTATAATTAACCAAGTTAACTTCCCAACCGCATGTGTTCAGTGATAAGGATAGAAAAAATAATACCTAAAAAATACTACCTTGAAAAGTCTTATAAATAAAAGTGCACTTTGCAATTTATGTGAATTTCAATTAGACCTATATCCACCACTAATTTGTTTGTTGCATATAATGTTACTATTTTAAATATTACCTCGATAAAAAAAAAACATGAAAAGGTTATTAAATTTCAAATTTTTCCACCAAACGAAAAAATAAACAAATAAAATCTACTGTCGTCATTTAACTGGCGAGGTATAAAAGTCACCAAAAAATCTTCTTCACCACAGTCTTCTTTGACCATTTTGTACAAGATGTTTAAACATTTGTTGTGGGTTCTTTTATGGAAATAATATATCGGCAGCTTCACAATGTTTATTAATGTGAACGAAGACAGTACAGAATTGGTATCCTCTAAAAGATGATATGCGCTTATATATACTTGGATGGTTTGGTGATAATGAAAGATGACCAATGAGGGGTGGATGATAACAGGATGATTCTTAAAACTAATGGGTTTACATTACACCTCTATCCCTAAAAAAGGATTCAACTTAAGAAGTTGAAAAGTTGAATCTTACAGTTATGATTACATATTATTTTTATTATGTAGGTGTTATTGTAATATTTTTTTTTTTTTTTTAAACGACCGCATTCGTCCTCCTCTGCGCAACGCGTGCGGATCGTCGAGGTGCGAAAATGTTGCCGTGTTCGGCCGGTGGTACGTTTTCGGCCGGTGGTGCGTCTTCCAGAACATCCTGAGATGTAGATGCCATGTAGTGTGCTTCCGCCTCCTCCTCTGGACTTGATGCCTCTAGCGGGGCCAATGCTAGAAATTGCCTCGGCCTTGTGGGGGGCGGCAAGCGTCTTCTTCTTCGCACGACACGATGTACTAGAATGAGTACACCAACGAAGATTACGGTAGAAGCAACGACATAGCCAATGATAGAAGTATGTCTTAGGGTCGTCGCGTGTCTCTGGGCTTCCTCTTCCTTGAGGACTTCCATTTCTAGGTGGTCGAGGTTATGGTTGGCAGCACCTATATCTTGGATAAAGTTGTCATATGCCTTCATCCCAATAGACGGATGTCGTAGCTTTGTCGAATTCAATTTTTTCAGCAGTATTTGGCTACAACAAATCGTTGAGATGTTTAATGTGGGTACAAATGAAGCTGGACTCGTCTGGTTCTGGATGCTGGCTTGTGTATTGAGAGTACCGGACTTTGCGTACCCCCCGCAGTTATTCGCAATTGTTACACTCCCTGTACCATTAATTTTCACGTCAAATGGCGTCATGTGTATACATGAGATGATAACTGTGTCCACCATCGTCGTCACAAAGGCCCAAGAGTTAAGTGAGTGAAGTTTAATAAAGAGTGTATTGTTTAGATGTATCAACTTTTTGTTGCAAGAATTTGGAATAGTTTGAATATTATTATTAACAATTAGAGCTATTTCACAGCTTTGTTCTACGTGAGCAATTTTTACAAATGAGTTTTGTTTGCAAATAAATTTAGGTAAAGTGGAAGTTTCAAACTTGTGACAATGTGAAATTTCGGCTTCATTTAGATAAAAATAAAGTTGTTTGGAGTCATCTACTGCTATGTATCTGTCATTTGGCAAAATTGTTATAAAATTGTTGTTTAAAACGTGAGCAGGCAAGGGTTGCAATTCATAGATATAGTATTGCGTTACATCTAAAAGTGGAATTTTGACTACGAAAACGAAATTATTATTATTAAAAAATGACACTATAGATGCGACATCAAAGATTAGATGAGAGTGTTCCTCATCAGGCGTTGTCGGGAGTTCTAAACCTGTTGGTAAGTTTTGTTGAGCGATTTTTAATTGGGCGACGACCTCTGTTGGTGATAGTATAGAAGGATGTAGGCTACCACGGCGAGCGTCAAGAATCGATTGAAAGAGTGTTAAAACATCAAAACTGTATTGGCTAAGATAGGTATTAAAAAGTGAGATGTGCTCATCTGCACTTACTTCTTGAAAGATTCGTTCAATATGCTCTTTGTTATTATTTATGGCATTTGTAATATTCCCTAAGCTTTGAAATAAAATTTTTTGGTTGTCAGTAACGGCTTTTAACGTGTTGTTTACGGTCAAAATTGTTGTTCTTACTATGTTTATTTGGTCTTTTACTAAGGTTGTGACCACGCGCGAACTTTCTTCTGATTGTTTTATTAGGGTGTCGTAGTGTTCGGCATCATCAGAATCCATTGTTCCAAATAATACTTTAGCTCCCTTACCTATGATGTCGAACCAACCTCTACGAATACGTGTAGTATGACCTAATAGACCATCAATTTGTTGCAACTGATGTTGTAGTTTTAAAAGTGATAATTCTGATGTTTTATTAAATATACGACAGGTGGTATTTGATATAACATTCACGGATAGGCAAGAGTTGAGAGTAACTTCCCTATATTTTTGTAATGCAGATAATT